ATTGCATTTTCTTTTTTCATTTTTTATGTTTAGTAGTCTTAAATTTTCAGAGTCTTTTTTGACTGTGCTCTGCAGGAATAGTTATCATCAAATACAATAGTATAGCAATGAATGAAGTGGAAGGACAAAATTTACTTGAAGATTTGAAACCTTATAATATGCACTGATTTCTTCTTCATAGGTTCTACTGTAATAATATCAATGTTATCAAAATTTTGAGAAATAATTTTCTTAATTATTTATATGAAAAATTAAAAATTATATGAATAATAACTCACCAAGTATTAGCACACATATTTGCAATGTACCTAAATTTAAACTTTTAAAGTAAATTATAATGTAAAAGGCAACATGCTGCAATATTTATATTTTTATTCATTTATGTCTCTGTCAATCTATGTTGCAACATTTGTTAACATTCTGCTTATCACTTACAGGTTTTTATCACAGTATATAATACAGTATATAAATTGTTAGACAGCCCTGATAGTTATAAGAAATTTACTTTTTTGTATTGTCCAGGCCCAAAACAAAGAACTTAAAAATCTGTAATTGCTGTCTTCTATATTGTCATCACATGAAATTGAAAAGAAAATCTGTTTTCATTACTTGTCATACTAAATATTCTTGAACAGGAATTTCCAGATTTCACGCAATTTTTAAGGACTAATTATTTAAGTAAAGTAGGACAAGTGGTTAAACAATGGAGTTAGGATTTATTTAATGCTGGCTTTGTCATAAACTTTGCCTCTAACTTTAAGCAAGCCCTTCTCCACTTCAATTTTCCACATCACAGCAAATGGTAACAATATTTCACTAACTCAATGGTTTAGTTTGAGAATTAATGAGGGTCCCATGTGCAATAGACCTGTAGATTCTGTCTTCTTCTTTCCACTGTGAACTGATAGGAAAGTGACCTGTTCTTAATTTGAAACAGAGACTCAGTCCTGCCCTTCATCAGCACATGGAATTCTCATTCATGTCAACAGGAGTTGCACTGAATACACCAAATACATTATTTAGCCTAAAAGTAAATGAAGAAAAAGGAATGGAAAGAATCGCATGGATTCTCCTTGCCTGCTCTTAAAAAGTCTAACAACTCATGGCAGCAGACACATGATCATAAATAACAATATTTTTGATGGGAGGAAAGAATTGCTGCCTGGGATTATAAATGAGAATGGAGAAAATTGTAGCAGGTCCATCTGTAGAGTACATTTAGCTCTGCTGCAAGAGCACCATCATAAAAAAATGATGGAACATGCAAAATCCAGTCACCATAATATATCATGCTCTATAGACATTTTCCTCAAAATAAAACAAACCTTTAACAGCCTCAGCATTTCAGCTTTCCCCACCATCTACAGTGCACACCGAGAAAACAGTTACCTTTTTCTCCTATGTGAGTGTTAAAGTAAGATAAAAAGTTCAGAAATTAAAAAAAAAAACAACAAACAAACCCCCAAAGCTTTAAAAGCTCAAACTTAATCCAAGGTAGTACTAAACACTGGTTTTGGTCGGATGTATCTATGGTGCAAGAACAGAATTGACTGAAGATTATTTTTTTCTTGAAAGAAATTAACTGTGAGTATGCAATTTTAATCTCTTGCTTTGATCTGAGGTACAAATTCAGGAGAAAAAAAAATTTTGGGGCTTTTTGGGGAAAAAAAAGCAAACAAGAAAGGAGAATAATCAAGAAGCAGCTGATTGGCCATTACCAAGGGAGGCAAACATGCCTATAACAAGCAGGCATGTTTTAAAATTTGCCATTGCTTAGCCATCTACAGACAATGAGACTTGACAGTTCTTTACAGAAGGCAGGCAGGAGCTACAATTCTGCATAATTAGGCAATAATTAATCAATCCAAGGATAGCAGCCTTGTAAATTTGGAAAACGGTAAGTGTAGCTGCCTATGTGTATGAACTAATCTTTTACACTTTATACTGTCCACATGCAGTCCTGGTCATTTAAAAGTCTGCCTGTCCAAATAACATTTTTTCACTTCAGGGTGTATGTTATTGAACAACAGAGGATTTTTGACTGGAGAAAGACATTCCTTCTGAGGGACAGAAGGATTTAAAAACAAAAGGGCAGACTAGATCACCATCCTCCCACAAAGCAGGTTATCAGAGGCAGAAGAACCCCAACAATGGTGTTTTGACATCACCATGCATATGCTCTCCTTTTCTTCATAAAACAGTCAAACGTATATTCGCTCATCTTTTTTTCTGGTTTTAGCATTCCTCCAAGCAGTGAGGAATTTAGGATGTTTACTTCTTAACACAGGATATGTTAAGAATGTACAGTTTAAGTATGCCTTTATTACATCATTGTCTATCTTTTTGCTTATGGCTTTCTAAGGCACCAGAAAACATTGTATCTTATGTACCCAAAATCCTGACCTGCTACTTTTGGAACCAGCTGCAGACCTTGTATGTGTCTTAAGGACTGTATCTTTATCACACATAGCCAAAGTTTTACCCTACTGTAAGTGGTCGTTCAGTAATGCTGACTGCTGCCTCCTGCCTCTTAACATTATCAATAGCTTTGATTTTGAAATTTTTCTGATAAAATAAGCTAAAACTGATCTTAAGAAAAATTTCAGAATAGTATTTACATGCATAACATATAAAAAAAGGTCTTTCAGATGCTCACCCTCTTTATAAATGTATGTTATTTTCTTTAAATTAGGCTTTCCCCTAATATGTACTTAGATTTGGTTGGTTGCACTTAATTTCCACCTTGTCTATTTTGTCATGTTTATATTTCTTATAGAAATCAATTTCTAAGTTACTTTGTTCTATTTTTCAGATGTAATATATGTTTTATGTCCTTTGAAGCATGATATTTACAGAGAAGTGCGCTCAGAATGATTAGTTTAGTACCTCAGACAGATAACGCTGTGAAAGCATCTTCACAGTAACTATAGTAGCAAGCACGTTAACAGCATGTCAGAATACGGAGACTGGACAGACACGTTCAAAACCAGACACACTTTATGCAGGGTACGAAGAATAAGCTGTAAATTAACAACCTACTGGTCATGCAACCACAAAAAACTACGGAATCGGTAAGGAGAACACCAAAGGAACAAGTAGAGCGCCAGTACTTTCAATACATTATCATGTGGCCACAAGAGGCTAACCGACGAACATTGAGCCAAAAAATAAGGAAACAAAGAAAGCTTCACCACAGTTTTGGGTGGCTTTTTTGCTAACACCAAGTTTCCCCGCTGTCGCTGGCTCTGTCCCCGCACGCTGTAACGCAGAGCGCCCGGGACGCAGCGCAGCCCGTGCCGGGGGGATGCTCTGCAGGCGGGCACGGCGAGGCCCGGGCAGCCTCCGGGGCCGGGGTTCGCCGGCCGCAGCCCGAGTCCGGGCACCGGCACCTGTGACCGGACCGGGCACTCCGGTCCCCGAGCGCTGCCCGCCTCCCGGGAGCGCGCTCCGTTCACTGCCTTTGCTCCACCCGAGGGGAGATCTGTTAACGATTAAATCGGCAGCGGCCGCAGTTCAAAGCCCTGTCCCGGGAAGCAAAGGTGAAGATAACGTCCCGGAGGATCGCATCGAGTTTCTGCTGCTGCAATCGCTTTTAATTACCCTCCAAACGGCACATCACACAGCGATCCTCCGGGCGCCGGACGGGGCACCGCGATAGCCAGACAACTATAAACGCTTTACAAGGCGCCCGCTGATTAAAAAGCGATTAGAAACTTATTTGAAGTCGGGCGTTCTCTCCGGGCACGGAGCGCCTCCTGTCAGCGCCGGAGGCCGGCCCGAGCCCTCCCGCCGCCGCCGGCGCGCCCTGGCCGGCCCGCCCGCACTTACAGGTAGGAGGTGAAGACGCTGAGGTTGGCGGGCACGGCGGTGAGGCCGCGGTCGGAGCAGTCGGCGCGGAGCAGCACTCCGTCCAGCTCGCAGCGGCACGGCGCGGGACAGCCCCGCGGCCGCTGCCCGCCGCCCCGCGCCCCGCGCCGCAGCCCCGGCGGGCACAGCAGCAGCAGCAGCAGCAGCAGGAGGGCGCGGGCAGCGCGGGTCGTCGCCATGGGGCCCGGGGGGTACCTAGAGCCGCGGGGCGGCCGCTCTCATGCCCCGGGGCGCGGCGGGGGCGAAAGGCGGGCGCCCGTCTGGGCTCGAGGAGCTCCTGCGGCCGCCGCCGCCGCGCCGCTGTCTGTGGTAGCATCTCAGCTTACACGCTGCTTTAAAGCCCTGGAGCCGGCACCGCGCGCCCGCTGACGCCGCCCCAGCCTTGCCCGCCGTAGCGCAGCGGGCCCTGCCCGCGCCGCCGTGCGAGCGGGCGGGCGGGCGGGGGCGGCCGCGGGCCCGGCGGGCGGGAGGAGGGAGCGGGAACGCCGCCCTGCGCCTGCCCTCCGTGCGGGCCGCGCCTCGGCGCTCGCCTCGGGCCCTCAGCGCACATTCGCAGAGCGGGCCGGGCTGCAGCATAGCGCAGTGGGTCACCCTGCCCAAGCAGTCATCCCAGAACACACGGCACAGGATTGCATCCGGGCAGTTCCTGAGTACCTCCAGTGAGGGAGACTGCACAACCTGTTCCAGTGAGCGATCTCTTGCTCAGTAAAGAAGTTCTTCCTCATAATCAGGTGGAACTTCCTGTGCATCATACAATCATTGAACCATAGAATAACTGAGTTGGAAGGGACCCACCGGCATCATCGAGACTAAATTCTGCCCTTGCACAAGACACCGCAATAATCACACATTGTCCAACTTCTGCCCATCGCCTTGTGTCCTAGTGACTGGCACCAGGTAGAAAAGCCTGCCTTCACTTTCTTGGCACTCCCTTCTGCCCATGGGGTATTTGTACACATTTATGAGATGCCCTCTCAGTCCTTTCTCCTTGAGGGGAAATCCTCCCTCAGGGTAGGGATGCAAGTGGTGGGCATTTCTAGAAGGTGGGAGAACAGGCAGTTGTGGAAGTGGGGGTATGGTCCTGAGGCCATGGGATGGGGGGTGGGTCTCTGGGATGATGGGACAAAGGATTGGGTGCTCTAGTGGGCTAGATCTAGTAGGGAGAGCTAACCTTTAAGACCTTGTTTAGTTAGTTGGCTGTCCCAGCTGCAGACCATAGTCCTGGTCAATGATGGGGATCCACTCTCTTCCCTCACTACATGGTTAAATCACAGGCTTGCCAACAGGCAACAATTTTCTAAAGGAGACTGGCTGCTGAGGGAAACGGAGTTCACAGTGAAGCTGCCATTGAAAGCTCTTGAGAAGTCCCTCACCCAGCTTCTTGCCAGAGGTTCTCCTCAGGTAGTGCACAAACTTGCCTTTGTGCAATGTGTCTGTGTGAAGAAAAGGTGAGGATAGCAAGGTTTTTAAAACCTTTTTCCTCCAAATCACTTTTCCGTGTGAACAAAGTTGGCCATCAACTCTAGATTTGAGACTAGCTGTGAGTGCTAGAGCCCAGTCCCAGCCCAATTCCTGTTTAGACTGGTAACAAAATTGTTGGTCAGGCTACTCAGTATGCTTCGGAGACCATTAGTTAAAGGTTTTCTGCAACACTCTCTTGGAATCTACAATTAAGTCTGCAATGAGAGCCTAATGAAAAGGCCAGCAAAATACATGCCTTTATATTTTACCTAGTTATAACACTTGTTTTCACCTCTGGACCATAATCTGGTGTAATCAGAGTGAAGAGTGACTTTGTACTGGGATTCAAGTGTTTTAATTGAAATAATAAAAAAGGAATCTGCTCTCTGGCTAGTTAGACCAGAATATTTTGGCCTATGGGGCTGCTGTGAAACTTTTCCCCAAGAATCACTTTGTCCTAAGATTGTAAAAACAGTGGCTGAAAGCATAAAGTGCCTGTGAGAAATGCCCAAAGAGAAAAATTCTGCAGGAAGAGGATTTTTCATTCTGTGTTATGATATGTGTCCAGGAGACCTCTTTCCCCAAAAGTTTGGCTGTCTTTTGCCCACATCTATAAGCTTATATTTTTCATAAGTGTAGTTCATTTATGTAACTTGAGGCTTTTATACTTTTTTTTTTTTTTTTTTTTTTGGTTCTATAAAGCCAAGTGTATATTGTTTCTTCATTTTCTGTTTTGGATTTATCAGCTTGCACAAGATACCTGAATTTAGACAGACATACATTAATTAGTAGTGAGGGTTCAACTGCAAAAGTCTTCTCTGTATGTTATTTTGCATAACTACATTTGCTGAGCTCGTAGCGTTCTTTAAAATACCTAATGTACTTCTATACAGTTTTACTTACAGATTTTTTGAAAGTAAAGTAGCTTGAAGATTAAAAGAAGGATTTTTTAGGAATGGATGTGGATAATTCCTGCCTTTGTACATATAAACTAGGCTATATAGTTTTTTTCTTTTCATGTTTCTCACAGATCTCTGGTTCTCCATGAAGGGAAAAACAAAAACGAGGGTCTGTATGGTGACATCTCTGGGAGATGCTGTTACTGTTCCAAAAGGCCATCAGGACTGTAAGGTTTCCTGCAGGTTGTAACATCTCACCATAATGTCCTGGTCGCTTAAAGTGACATCCGTGGTACAGCCATCAATCAGCATTCATCAAGGCAATAAACAAAATCCTCAGGGATTTCAGCAGAATGTTCTCTTGAACCTGTCTTCCTGATACTCAGGCAAAACCTCTGATCTTTTTAATATGATATAAGATGTGATGATGCTCTACCCTAAAGTTTACCAGTATAAAAGGTATCTTTATGAAATATTACCTACAAGTAAACAAAATTATATGTTGTGTTATATGTTCTTAGCACACAAAAAGTATAACAATTCATATGCTAAGAATGCACAGCAGGTATATATTTTTATATTTTTATTTGAATATATTTATATTTAACATCATTACTTACCGCAGGACAGATTTTAGACTTTATGTGAAATTTGGGTTTGAAATATTGGACTTTCTTTTCCCAAAATAAAACTGTCCGTCTAAACTACTCCCTGCTACTTCCATATTGTAAAATTAATAAAATTATTAAAAGAAAGTGACTAAAATATTTGACAGTGGAAAATTATACTTAATCCTGAAATGATCAGCTGTCCCAGCCAAAATGGAATTTAAATCAGAAGTGTTAACAGATCTTGCATTAGCAAAGGTAGCAGCTAGTTTAATTATTAAAGCAAGTCCAATACAGAGCCAAAGTAAAAAGCACAGCAGCAGAGAAAACAATAGTTTACATCTGATTGTAGCATGTTTTTCCTTTCCTGCCTATGGATGAAGGGTAGGTTCCTAGAAGGCAGTAAGTACAACTGTGTGTTTAGACTGTGGAGAAAGCAAAGACCCTGTGCAGGCTGGGAATTCTTTTTCTGCCTATTGGGATAAGAAATTCTTCATTGAATGTATTGAGATCCTTACATTAAAAGGGTTCAGTGGGCAAGTGTGCAACTCCACAGCCCTGAGGCTGTTCTGCTGGAGAACAGTACAGCAACTGCCCAGTGATCTGAGCAGAAGGATCCTCTCCTCCTTGAAGAACACCTCCTTTGTCCTTGTTTATCCCAGCTAGCCTTGGAGAATGGTGCATGCCTTAAGTTTTATTGCTATAGAGGCTTTTTATACATACAGCAGAAGGCTTTTTATGTGCTCTGTCACACATAAAACATATTTACCTATTGGTGTATGTTCCTGTTCATTTGCATCACATTATCTGTCCTGTTTTGTGAAGGACCTTGAACTAACACAGTATTTACATCCCTTTATTAAGCCATAGAATGCTCTTCAAACCAAGGCAGATGGCACTGTTTCTGTTTTACATAGTGATAAGAGCTGGTACCTGAAATGTAGGGTGGTTAGGGTAGAGTCACTCTTTGAACCAGAATGAAATACAGGAATTTTAATTGCCCTGGCTCGATATACCACCTGGCTACAGTTTTTCAGCCACAATAATGTTATGGATAGTTTTATTTTATCATTATGGATTTGATTTTTTAGGTTTTCATGCTATTTAATTCATGCTATGTCACGCCTTATTAGAAAATCAGTCATATTGATTCTTTAATTTGGCACACTGCCATCTAGCTGCACACTTCCCTCAGAAGCACTGTATTAGTGTGGTGGAAGAACTGAGGTGAAACATCTGACAGCAAAGATTTACTTGGATTCATCTGAAATGCGCTTCAATAGTCAAGTTTCTAATGGGAAGAAGGGACAAAACTACAAAAAAGGGTTTTTTTACTGTTACAGATCATATGGTGACAGCTGTCTTACATGTATAATTTTGAAGCAAATGCTGGCAGGAACATTATTTTTAGTCTGAAAATATCTGATAGTAAATTTGGCAATGTTAGTGCAAAAGTCAGCTTCACCCAGGCACATTTTAATAAAAATATGGGAAAGGCACAAGGGGAAAATATAAATATGAAGGCTGCAGATTTACTGAATGTTTTTTGGAGGAATTGGAAGCTGATTGTTAGAGCAATTCTCTGTTTAGCAAATAAAATCTGTGTGTTAAGATGAAAATATGAAAATAAGATATATGAAAAGAACCTCCTATTATTTTGAGTTGGGTGGATGCGACATAATTCAGAGAATCACAGACAGCCAGGCTGCAAAAGTATTAAGTGAGTATTTCACAAACACAGAAACTATGTGCTTTAAACTTTACTTTAAATGAAGCTTTTACACTCTAGCACTTACTGGTCTGTTACCTTATCCTTGTATGCCTCAGGCAAAGCCAGAAGAAGAAGGAGGACAACATGTAAGTTGTGTCTAAAAATGCATGAAGAACGGTAGGCGTTAAGTAAGATTTTTACCAGAACAACTAATATTTGAAAATAAACAAGAGCTCCCCTTTTGGCTCACTAAATCTTATTTTCTCAAAATATATCTAACTGTCCATTCAAAGTTTGTCTCCCTTGTAGCCCCAGACAATCACTGTTTCCTGAATTGCATAGTCTTGGGTCTCTGCTTTCTCACCCCACAAAAGTAATCAGCTACTACCTGTTCCTTATAATAGCAGGTGTCAGAACCAAAGATTTTGAAATGCATTACTGTGCATTTTAGCACTGTAGTTAAGTTCAGAGTGCTCTGTATTCAAGGCTTTTAGTCAGTGGGACTTTGAGGGAGGTCTTCGAAGTATTGCTCACTTAATGCAGCAAAAGTTCATCACTCCCATGGAAAGTCAATACCTTCACTTCTGGGAGGAAGCTAACTCCAGGTCAGAGGGGATTGCAGGATTGTTTTTGTTTTCCTTAAATGCTTGTAAAATGTCAAACCTTTTAATATGTATGCATGTGGAGAGGCATGATGTATTTCTCTGTCCTGTATGTGCTTTGTTAATCTGCACTCTGCTCTGGGTAAAAGACAAGAGTACATGTGCGTGAATAGAGTAATTTTTTAATTTAACAGCACCTATAGAAATTCTGTCCAGTTCTTTCCTCCTTCTCCCGCTGTGTCTGTGTGGCAAACACCCTGGGGTTCCTGCGGTTTTGAAGTATATTTGCATGATACTATATAATGAGTGATTACATTGTTTTGTAGTTGTTTGAAGGAGGTCACAATAATATTTTTTGTACTTGTTTTTCTTTTTTTGTGGTGGTTGTAATAGTCATTCTGGGATCAGGTGCCATGCAAAAGGAAGAAATGTATATAGGAAAAAATCACCTAATTGTGACAAATTGTCAGAAGGCTTTAGATGTGGTGTAATAACTGTGTTTTCCTGTAAATTCCCCTCCAGAAGGAGGGAGAGGCCTGTATTTTTACTTCTTTCTCTGTGTGTTTGTCATCTGAAGTGCAAGCACAGAAAAGGCAAATTTCTTTGCAGAGGGGGAAATCAAGATTTTTTTTTTATGAGTAAGACCAAAAGATTTCAAACATATTTGTCCTCTTGACAGCAGAGCTTTTTCTATCATGGACTGGAATAAATCAGATGGGAAATGTCTTATGGGACTAATTTTTCAAGGAGTTTTTGAAAGCTATTTGCATACTGCCCAGTGCAAAATTAATTCCCAAAGCTTTATAGTTAATCAGAACATTTGTTGAAGTGTCCTTGTTTCTTGTGACTCGTGCTTCATCCACACTTTGTACCATGGTGATGAACTGACAGGATACCTTATCCACCTCTTGAGTCTCTGAAGTTGGTCCAGTCCCATCTGCAATCATGAAAAATGACACAAAGAGAGGGAAGGAGCAAAATACAGATCTGTGAACTTCAACATATCCACAAAGCCTCCACCAGTACCTGCCAGAGTTACATGGGTATACAAAAAAAGCTATTTCTTTTGCATGGCTGGCAAAATACACCTTTACTGTAGGTGTAGGAATGGAATTGGTCAAGAATCTGAATAGACCAACCATCAGAAAGGAAAAGTGGGATTTCTACAGCTGCCAAGGAGCTGAAGAGAGAAAGAGCCCTATGAAGGGGGACGTGAAGCAAAGGGAGGAAGAATGATTGCAGCACAAATGTTTATAGGAAGATAAGAGGGAGTTGGATGAACACTTGTATTTGGAAAAAAGACAATATGGACACTCAGAGCAAACAGGAGTTTTAGAGCAGGGGAATGACAGGGAGGTCTGTACAGAGAAGAGGAGGGAAGGTGGCCCACCTTGAAAAAACTTTGAAGAGGCAAGAGGCTTTGTTATTTGCAATAAATTCAGTCGGCTGAAATATATAGGTCTCAAGTTTCTATGCTCTTTCTTCTACAAACACTACCCCAATAGTGTTACTACTCTGTGAATTGCTATGTATTTGGGCTAAACTTTTTTGAAAGATATAGAGATATATTTCTGGACAGAATGTCAGAATCAGGGCCTTACATAACATGAACATGTTTATAACATGCTTTGCATTGCATTGCTCTTCTGTTCCTTGGCAAGTTTGGTTATCTGACTTCAGGGCAGGCACATTTGTTTTGGGATGTGTTTGTCTTTGAAGTAAGCTTCTTAATTGAGGGAGTTTTATATTTATAAATCCCATCTCAACAGAGAGCCAGCCCAGGCCCATGACAGTAACATCTCCACAAAAAAGAGAGCAGAATGTGGCTTCATTTATCTTCATCTGTCATCATTGAAGACAAAGAGGTACCTGCTTAAGGCAGTTTCTGGCTTCTGGCTTCAAGCTGGGAGAACCCTTTTCTCTATCCATTGAGATCTCCCAGGGAATCTTAGAGCCTCTTCAAGGCTACTACAGTGTCCCATGCTGGATGGTTCAGATATCCCTCCAATTGCTGTCATGAGAACTGAAATTTCCTAATGCCTAGTTGCTGCAGGAGTTTTGTCTTAAAAGACTGCCTGTAAGAAATCCAAATTTATATGGACCTGGACCACAGAAGCCAGTGTATTTATTTCTGTTAACAACTTGGGTCTCTGAGGGTTTGGCTACATTTCTTTAGCAATTAATGGAGACAGTAGGATATGAGGAGAAAATGTCTGTACCACCCAAGTTTAATCTCCCAGGCATCTTTCTGAAGCTGATTAAGGCAATAGACTCCTCCAGAAAGTGGTTCAAAGCACCTACATTAATGATTTAATGTATTTGTGGATAGTTAAATCACCATGCAATGGTATCCTGGCATTGATTACAATTAGTCTTACTGCTGCAATAGATCAGAACCCTGAGAAGCTACATACAGGAAACACTGACAAACAA